ATCCAAAACAATTCGTACTTTTTCGATCAGACTTCTCCTACCTATACATATTCAATATACTACAATGCCTACTCTATACCTACTAAAGAGAACATATACTCGACGTAGTTTCACAAACTGTAAAACAAGATTCGCATAGTTATAATACAAGGAACAAAGAAGACATTCACATAATTTTTCTTCTTTTCTAAGTAAAATTCTGCGACGACAAGACTCCACTACATCAAACATACTACAAACTGCGACTATTTTCGACAACAACCTTCCCATTCTCGAAATGTATTATCGTTTCAAAAAGAACAAAATTTTTTATTGACTGATTTTGACGTCAGTCCCAATCAATATATGATACTGAGATCGGTGTTACCGTGTATGGTCGGTAAAAGAATAACCCTACCGCAGAGGGCACTGCGTGTCGTAAGAGGCAACTCAACAACTGCAGGTCGATCGCGACCCTGCTTGAGTGCAAGGTGGAGTGTTTGAGGGAGTATAAGGTTTGATATGAAACTACAAGTAGAAGGCGAATGATACACCCGATGTACGTAATGATATCTCCACCGGGGTTGTCGCATCCTCGGCAGACGCTGCAAGCTCTACACAATGAATTACAGAGTACTTCAGTTGCTTGGGACACAATACCTCAATAGGAAATCGGCTGTCTACCAAAATCGATGCCACGAAGCGCGAGTGAAGAGTGAATGAGTGTGTCTGTGTAACCAATAGGCGGGCACGAACCCTTTGTTAATAAAAATATGTTTATATGTCGTTCTTTTTCTTTTAAATTTTAATCAATTCTTACCTTTTAGTAGTTAAACGTTTCTACCAAGTTTGGTCAAAAAATTCCCACTCTTTCTTGGTGTTCTGAGTCACTGAGTAATAACACTTGGGCGCATTTAACTGATATTTTGACTCGATTTCGCCTCGTCAAAAAATTATAATCGGAGGTTCGTGTTGGGCCGCGAGCCTTGCGTATTTAAATTTGATATATGTTCATTCTCGGTGTGAGAATGAGCGGATTTCGAGTAGAATGTTAGGTGGTAAACTGTCATTCCGAACCGTGCATTACTTTATATTGCTAATTCCCTTTTAGGTTCCTTACGGTTAAATAAAATACCAACTTGGGTTATGAATAAATGAAATAATTTATTTGGGTGTATTGTAAATGGAAAAGAGTTAATTTCCAAAATGCTAATTAAGGAATAAACCTAATTACCTCCTATCATGCCTTTAATGTACATTGTGCAACGGATGTTACACGTTTTACTTCTTCTCATATTTCTTCTGGTTAATTAATGTGGGGGGGGGTACTTATTGTGTAATTATTTTGTATATTGATGTGCTTCGGCTACTCGTCAGTTGATAACCCTCTTCTGGCCTAAAGGATAAGGGTAAAGGGACAAATAACAATTCAATAATCTTGTAACTTTGAATTGATTCTTATTTTTCTTAAAATATCGCATTTGCTGCAAGAGAACACATTTTAATAAATGGGGTTGACACGGAACGCTCCTGTTCATTCGCAAAAGTCATATTTCGCATTGGCAAAACATATTTAAACTTTATTTATATTCTTGTGAAAGATTGTATAGAAACGATGTAATGGACGAGGGGTAGTGTACATCCCTTATTTGAACACCATACAATTTTACTATTACAATTTTACATTTTTTTCAATTTTGTTTTAGTATTAAATCCTCTGTTCTCTTCTTTTTTAATAAAAATTTATTTTAAATTAATTTTATAATAGGCTAGGTACTTCGTTACGAGGACGTTTCATGCAATCTTATTTTATTTTTCATTTTCACATTCGAATGTGTTTACTAGTAAGAAAAATTGATTGTGGTCCTTGATGACGTTGAGGCTATTACATAGGGTGAGTTTTTTCGAATGCGAAGCATGATGATCTCCCAAACTCCCACGTAATTTCGCCTTTGAAATATTAGCCCCTAGGATATTTTTACCCGTAAAATATATTCCATGCTACAATACTTTCTCAGCAGAAACCAAGGCGTTGTTCAAAGCTAATGCTAATGGCCAATTCTCCATGTCTGTGACTAAATTCGCTCTACCAATGTTGCTAACCCTAAAACTTGATTGCCTCTAACTAAATTCACCCCTACCCGAGGAAAATTCGCCCCGGAAGGAATTAGAAACAATTTGACGGAATGTTCACGTTGATTAAAGTTAAAAATAAATCTTTGAAGGAATTATGTGCAAAAAGATCGCTCTCGGAGAATTCGCCCTATCGCAATACTTCCACACCATCAGAATTGTAACTTTTTACTTTTGGGCAGCATTGGTTGAATTAAAATGTTTTTGCGTATAGATAACACAGTAGAGATTGCGTATATTAACAAATACTACATAAGTATGTAACTTTAAATGCAGTAGCAGATCTTGTTTTCCCAAAGATATCTGAGTAATCTATTGACCTTCTGCATGAGTTGCTGTCAGCCTATACTAAAAAGCAGTATTCCCCAGCATTACGTCAATGGTAGAATTTTTGGCAAGAAAAAGGTCATGCTTTTTATAGAAACTCAGAGATTATACGGGTTTTTACTTTAGAATTTAATAAAGGTGCTTATTTCAGTTGTCTAAAGGTTTTAAGGTCAGCAGTCCGTTATTGACAACACATTTTCTAACAACGCGGAAATGGCGACGTCCCCCTAAAAGGGAAATACGATCTATTTGGGATAGACAAGATGATCTGTTAAGCCTTGTATACAGGGTGTCTTAAATTGAATCTTTGTTATTATTATACCTACAGAATCGGTTAAATTCGCAAAGTTGTGTAGTTTTTGATGCTGATGGATATTCCGATGCGATATTTTGAAAAAATAAATCGTTTCGTAGAAAATTGGAAAAAGTGAAAATCATCATATTTTAAAAGTTCAAATATTAATTTAGTATCAAAGAGAGCTATCGTAAAAAGGTTTAAATAAAAGTTATAAGATTCGATGGGATTTATTCAATGGATGCAGAAATTTTTTTCAAAAGGGCGGTTTTCTAAATATTGACATCAACTTCCATATTTTAAATGGACGCCATATTGGATTTATACTTAGTTTGATACAGTTTTTTTCCTATTTCTAACCATGTATAAGTCAAATAATAAACTTGAGTAAAATTACAATTTGCATTTTTTCCTAATAACTGGCCATGGAAACAGCAAGCAATTGACATTTTGCAATGTTACAATTGTCTGGCCAGCCAGTAGTTTTATTAAAGAATTAATTAACATAAAAAAGCCTGGAAGACAACCTTTCTCATTACAGACCTCGTTTATTGCAGACATCTTTAGAACCGAAGGTTCAATGAATGCCGCTAGCGGCATCTTGGTTAGGGTCGAGTTTTTAGCGGAGGCCCGCACCCTGGCGGCACTGGTTCTTGCATAAAGATGTCATTTGAACACTAGAACATGCACGAATTACCCCCTGACGATACATAATCAAAAGTGGTAAAGCGGTGACATTACATTTGATATGGCTACTGGCTATGCTAACTTTGAATTTCATGCAATTCGGTTCATAAATGGCCGCGTTTGAAGTTTATTATCTCAAAAATCTTACAAAACATTGGAATAATTGCGATCGGCAATTAACAACTAATTCCAAATTCAAACTGCAACTAAGATACATTGCTCCAGGCAACTTTAATTTTCGAAAGGCAATCATTTTGACTCAAAACTGAGACTCTTAAGGTATTATTGATTTATCGGAGACGTTCGCCCGTAACTTTGCGAGAGTTTCAAGTACGAAGTTTAACACTCACTGGTTGTACCGAAAACGTTTATTTTCCTTTAACTTTCACGAATATCCTGTTGGAATAGGTTCAAACGAAACATACGATTAATGTCCTTGAACGCTACTGAATTTTTGCGCACAGTTTTTTTACACGCATAATTTTTCTTGAACAGTTTTATGACACTTGGCTTAAGTTAGAAGAACGGACCGTAATTAACCTACTTCAGGTACTGCACTCCGTGTCAACCGTTAACTTTGCATACTAATCGCGTAAAAATAATGCTTATAAATGCCCGATACTATTTTTATTCCGCACCACTTACATGACGTTCTCGTGGCTCAAAACCAAATGTCCTGATTCTGTTCTTTCTGGACTGATCCCTACTTCTCTCTTTTACACTTTTTAGCACGCTCAAAATGGCGGTAATTAGGTAATGCGACCCCCCTTACCCCAATCAAGTGCGTATAAGGACCATCCATCAAAACCCACTGCCGTTTAATATTGCCACACGAAAACCGCATGATATCACCATGAGTAATTCTGACTGGGCTGTTTTGGGCACGTAAAACCCATTATGATAGTATTATCCATTGTTAACGCTCGTCCGATGGCCATTAAACGGACATGACGCACACGCAAACCAGTGACCAATAAAATATAGATTCCACAATTTCATTGACGTTTAAAATTTTGAAGAATCAAAAACGTGTAACAACCAGTCCTCTAATGGAACCAATGTATGGGGATATTTGGACCTGCTATTATTGCGACTGGAAACGGGTTGTGTTTTCAAATGGAATGACTTCTTTGGGTGGTTATCCAGGAGAAATATCATCAAGGGGGGATTTTTGATTAGGCACTAATTTAGCCTTTTTTGTTTTACATGCATTGTGCTCTTGTTCCGAAATTACTGAGCAAAGTTTTCTTGAAGGGGAATTTTCCACCGGTTTGTGTACGTGGGCGAATTTACACTGTTGCATGCACGATGGCAATAGAGAATGATGTGAATAATAATGGGCGCCTTTAATTCAAGTTCTATCCCCCATTTAACTATTCCTCTATCGCCGCTAGTCTGCGAGATCCTTATGCCTGTCATCAAAACAAAACCCAGGCTCAATGTCATCAGGGCAAATGAAAAATAATATGAGGTGGTTTTGTCTGTTTTCATTGAGCGCAGCTACTTAAGGGGTCATTCAAAACTCAAATGTTAAAGTGATAAACTGTTACGTTATCTGCTACGGTTACAATATGATATACATTTGACCCATATGATCCTTCATATGTGTATTACAATTTGCCTCAAATGGACGTATCATATTTGGTGTTGAGTGTTTTGGCGTTTTTCTGCACCAGAAGTTCAACGCAACCTTGTATTCCAACCTTTCAAAACCACCACGCGACAGTTGAATATGGAAACCAACGGATAACCGGAGTTATTACTGGTTGCTTGTTTGGCAACCAACTACCTAATATCAATGGGAATCACTTTGTAATTAACATAAAGGGCCAAGTGATACCAGCATTGCATAGGAGCGCCGTTTCCCACATTCAACGAAGTTTCCGATTGAATATTATTCACAACAAAATTGAAGCAATCGAACGAGGCGCTTTTGAAAACTTACCAGGTTTGCAAGATTTATACCTGGATCACAATCATCTCGTTACAGTAAAACCCTACGCATTTGAAAATTTACCATCACTAGAGTGGATTTCTTTACAAAATAACAATATCGATGTTATATGGAAGGACACATTTGTCAATCTGCCCCGTTTAAATTCGGTTTATTTAAGCCATAATAATTTAAAAAAGTTCAATCAAGATTGGTTCGTGTCTACTCCAGTGTTAGATCGGATAGTCTTAATCAACAACCAGATTGAGAGTCTCCCAGCCGCCGCCTTCCAAAACTTGAGATCTATAACGGTACTGGCTATTGACGATAATAAATTAAAATACATTCACCCAGAGGCATTTCATGGATTGTCTCGTTTGGACGAACTTTCCTTAGGTGGAAATCAACTAACGGCGTTCGATGTCAATTTAAGTCACTTACGTGCGTTATATAGATTGGGGATCGAGCGAAATAAGTTTACCTACCTCCCCACAAGTGCGTTTAGTCAAATTTTGCCAACTGTACAGGAAATTTTTGTTCAGGCAAATCCGTTGGTGTGTTCCTGCGCGGACGCGCTCGTGGTTTGGGCATCCGATAATAACATCAAGCTGTTTTGGAAGTGTGAGAATAAAGACATGTATTGCGTTTTACCACTGGATTATGCTAATGATTGCGTGAAGCGACCAGCAAGTGATTTTAACTCGACATTATTTAAAAACTTTGAGTCCGAGTGTGTCATCCAGTAGTGCTGTAAACGATACCAACTCAATGCCTTTCTATCAAACTATGCCTAAACAGGCAATAGTTGTACAACATGTCTCTTGTATGAGTTTCTTTTGAAAATAAATACCTTGCAATATCAATATCATACCAAGTGTCCCAACTATAATTGTATACTCCCAATACATCAGTTATCAGGAGATTAATAAAAAAAGAATATTTAACCTCACTTTCAAATCTTACATTTTATGGAACCGTAACTTGCCACCACAAATGTGGCGCAACGGAATGTTTTTGCACCCTGGACCCAAACGGTTTCGTAGTAACAATTTATTAAATCGCGAAACACCTTAACTCGAATATGCGCTTTATTGCTTCTCGCCTTACCAACAGGTCGTCTTCCGGAAGGAATTACAGTACATGGCCTCCCATGGGGTTATAGAAGAATGCGACTCCGTATAGGCCGCTGGCGTGTGATAGTGCATAAGCGCAAGCTAGACGGGGCGAAATTATTCGATAACGAAAAGAGAAGTTTTGCGGGTACATAGAAGGACAATCGGTAATCCTCGGACCACCAACCTCTATGATTGATGACTTTGAAGAGTTCTTCGCACTAACCACTGCAGATGCTGTTATCTGCGCTCGCGTCGTAATTGACGAGGTATTCTTAAGATACGGCACCCCCCGCAGGCTAATTAGCGACAACGGAACCCAGTTCGTCAGTAGGGTGGCCATCAAAGCTACCACCGATCAGATTCGCTATGAACACGACCAAATGCGAATCCACAGTGTTTAATTGCTCCTATTAATACACACCTTTCTATTATTATTTTTACTAAGAACTGTCACTTTTTACTATCACTAAGGCCGCTATGTTTTTAAACTGTGCCAACTGTGCTCGTTCTATTCATGAAATCGTAGAAGAAATTGAAATCTTACTGACTAATCTACTCCTGATACAGAGAGTGACCTAATGCTGAGCTAGCAATTGTAAGCCAATAGCACTAATTAAGAAGACGAAATATGATATAAATCCCATACTTCTTGGCTCTTTGAAACCCATTAAAAAACAATGTTTCATAGAAATTAAACGACGCAACGGTTGGAAAATTCATTCTTTAAATTTCCACTAAGATCATCATTTATTTGGAAAACTTATTCGACCCGCTGAATTTTGATACTCTGTGAATTTCTGTGATGTAATTTCCAAGGTAGTCAGACCTCTAAAATTTCCAAAAATCCCTAAATCTCTAAAAATCGAACAAAATTTAACTTCAACTTAAAACTACCGTTACACCATCTTGGTTTGTTGTCACTTGTCCGGCACAATTCCATATTTATTCGAATAATTTCTTAAAATAAAATATTTACTAGTATTCTGTCTGTGAACGTATTCAAAATGTACTGATTTGCACCTTTTTTTAAATGAAAAAGAAAAGTATATATTTTGTTCTTTTATAAAAGTCTCTAGCGCTAAAAATAAGAAAAAGCTATAACAAAAGTATTGGTTTTTAGGCGACCAGAGATGTGAAAATCACACCAATTAAAACTCATCGTTACCACATTTAAATTAGGTTAATTATGACTTGCATTTTGAGTTTGATGCCAATTCCGTAAGCAGCACGTATGGCAAAGGGTTATAGGTACAAATAATTTAAAAAAAACTTCCACGTCTACCGTTTCATTATTATTTTATTAAGCATGTTGGTTGCCTAATATAGCAAATTGTCCATTCTTCCATAAATTTTGATCTGTTCGAACATGTTAATATTCTGGAAACCTATTTATTACAAATTTTACTTGGAACTCACGTTCTAACATTAGATGTATATTCCATTTTGACCAATAGACAAAACAAATGTAAGCCCAATGTAGCCCATTACGCAACGATTCATTAGATTTTGGACTTTCTGTCCGTCCGTCCGTCCATCTATGGACAAGATAACTCCCCAACGGTGTCGTATTTTCCACTTCTGTTTTTAATACTTTGTTTATCATCCCCCAAGGAAGAACTGATAAAATGTTCAGTGCTCCCAGGAGCACGTTTGCTATATTTGTTACAAGTTTATATATATATTGTATCTACCAACCACAGTTTCCTTTTATTTGCGATAGAAGTGTTTAACATAATTAGTGAAAAGCAAGCACAAAGATTCAGTTTCTCTTCCTCATTCTTCATTTTTGATTTTACAGCTCCAGTTCGCACATTTCTAATTTGTAATTACATCATAGTTGTTTCATTAGTTGCAGTGGTGTTCTTATTCTCCCGAGGGGAGGAGTACCCTTTTTTAGTAGCTAAATGATTTTGAATCTCGGCGAATGATTTTCCTTTGGTTTCCGGCAATATAAACAAAGAAAACAATACCCCTAAGAAACATACACTGCCAAAAAACCAACAAATGTTGTGCAAGCCCCACGCGTCGAAGTTGTTCCCAAATAGTTTTATCGTTCCGAAAACGACAACCGAAGAATACGTCGAAACGATGAATATTCCAACTTTCTTTGTGTTTGTTGTAAATAATTCGCCAGAGAAAAAGTATGGCAAATGCAGTATACCAAAACAAATAAAAAACTTGTACAAAGTTAGGCACACTACGGGTATAAAAGACACGCTCTTTAAGTCGATTATTCTTTGAAAGTAAACGTATATGCCCTGGAGAATTAAAGTGATGCTTGCTCCCGCGGAAGAAATGCAGAATACCGGTTTTCGTCCAAATTTATCCATTACTATTCCGGCCAGTACAACTGAAACATAAATTTTAAAATATACTTCATCCACTGCTATTGTAGTATACCCGCAGGAAGTTGAACAACACCATACACCACACTTGTCAATTCCTTTGACATGTGAATCCCACTGGACGCCAAAATAACTTGAAGATATTGAGATATAAACGTAACTCCACAAAAATTAATGACATTATGGGCAACTAAAACTCATCGTTGACTACTTCACAATATGTACACGTAAAGGTTACCAAATACTATCAGTAGCGATTTTCGGAAATTAGGCAATAACAGTAATTGGATGAGAGATAGTCCACCAGTCTCACTTTTCACTGTTTCCTCCACCTCTCTCAATTCTTTTTCTACTACTGAGTCGGTACTTTCACCAAGTAATTTTATTAGGCTTCTCTTGGCTTCTCTTCTTCTTCCCGTCTTTACCAAGAAATACGGCGAGTTGGGCATGAAGTAAAATAATACCAAAAAAATAATTGGAAAACTAGCACACACTAATATGAGGGTTGTGTATTCTATATACGGTCCTGCACCAAAGATGAAGGTGTTTCCAATTATACCAAGTAGTGCAGGAATCGCTCCCAACCTTCCTCGGATATCCTTACTTGCTATTTCGCAAATGTAAATATTTACGCACTGGATTGAAATGATCATTATAAAAAATTAATTGTCTGGCCCATTATCTTACAGGAATAGAAATTCCATCTCCAATGCCCGCAATAGTTCGACCAACCACTAATATCGCAACGGACTTGGCGAACCCCACGATAATCCAAGAGACGATAGTAAGCACAGCGCCGATTAAAAGAATATTTTTTGGTCCCAGCCTGTCCAGTAACAGCAGCAGCAATAGACCACCAAGCACTACGCCTAGATATATTATCGACATTACCCAGGAAGCTTCATCCTAAATTTGTATAAATTTAATGTTGCAACGACGATAATTTGACACGAACGTAAGTAAGCGGCTTTCCAATGGGAGAGTCTGGGGCCAGCAATCGTGGCAGAGTCGGCGATCCCCATACTAGGTTAACGTATTGGGACACTTGCAAAATGCCAACTATAAATTAAAAGGCTGTAAAAATTGGGACGCAACCACGGACCTCTTAAAAAAAATGGACCAAAAAGCCACATTTGTCTACAATGCGATAGTCGCCATCGCGTCTTTTTTATGTTGGTAGTGACAGATTTGAATTAGTAAAATTAACCTAAAATTAATTAAAGTATGGTAAAATTATTATGACCTTTTTAGAAATTTTAGAGGTGATCTCTATTAAGATATTTTAAAATATCAAAGAACCATTGCCGTCATAATATGTACCACCTATAATCGCCGCTTCAAATATTTCTTCCATTACACAAAGTAAATATAATTGATTAACATACAATTAAATTACCGCTAAAAAAAGTTGGGTTATGTAATTAAATTACACAATTAAGTTAAGGCATGGGGAATGTACCGTAATTGTTTTCAGTAATACTGCTGGTCAGTATTCAGAAGGTGCAATTTTAAGTAGATAAACTAGGTTAGTTTTTCAAGTTTTACCAACATAAAGCTAATTAGGATCGGTCACTATCAACTTAAAAAAGCACGCGATGGCGTCTAACATTTTTATGATATCATCATAGGGTGATTGGAAATCTACTTTTTTTAAGAGGTCCGTGGATGCAACGCGTGGCGCTTACCAGAAAATGCAGAGGAGTACTGCAGGTACCTGACACCGTGTTTGGTACTACCAGAACCTGAAGGTTCGTCTGTTGACATCTTAATGATTTGAAAGCTAAGTCGATATGAACTCTAGACTTTGCAACATTCATTTTTATCAATAGTAGTCGGTTAATCTGACTGATATGTTAATAGGTCATTTTTTAACAGGAGATTACGAAATACGTTTTTGGTAATATGACAAGAGTTAGGTGGGCTACTATTCATTTGGAGCACATTTGTTCTAAATAATCATAAAAAGAATTGTCTACGATCGACCCGTTGCAAGGCGTAGATGATTTATAGTAAAAAAAATCAAACATTTTTGTGAACGGAACGGGTAGGACTCCAGAGAAGACAGTGAATCAAAGTCAATCGTAGCGTGTGGTTAGTTAAAATGTTCAATTTTGTCAGACATTCGTCAATTTACCATAGGAGCACTTCAAGGTAATTTCTTTTCATTTAAGATTAATTAATTGAATTAAATCCATAATAATTTGCAGGTAGCTTTTATAATTCATGAAACTTGCGTGTGGTGTAATTACCTCGAAGTAAATGCATCTTCCATTAAGGATATACTGCGACGAACTTTCTCCGAAAGGGTAACTTCGGTTCTTCTTCACAAAAAAAACACTGTAACTGTACAGGTACAAAATGAAATTTAATGACAGTAAGAACAAAATATCCAGCTATAATTTACAAGATCTATGTAGATAATGACGGCGATGAGAGTCGGCGGAAGAAGGCGGCAAAAAACGGCGGAAGACGGCGGCAAAAAACGGCGGAACAGGACTGCTTCGGACTCCACCAGAAGATTCGCAAACGTTGCTTTTGGTGAGGATTCGGAAGGGCAGTGCTCCAGGTAACTCGAACTGAGAACGGCGCTCCCAGGAATCGGACGGATTCAGAAAATGACGGCGAGCACTTCGACCGGTGTAATCTCGACTTAATCGGAGGTTGTTACCGTAATCGATTCACCTAATTACGGCTACTTATATTTATCCAAATAGTCGGAACATAATCTCCAAATTCGGCAGTCCAACAATGCCTTTTTGTTCCTTGGAACATAGACTAAAAAAGTTAGGTAGTACATTTGCATACCAACACTTCTTTAGTCTTGAAACAAATGTAACCTGTAATCAATCATGTAGCATAAAATTATCATTTTCTTAAAATACAAGCCGCGCCATCTCTACTCCCATCGCTGAATCATATTTAGAGCGGTAAAACGGCGCATTTACAGTGAAAGTCTTTAGTGTAATTAGTCCATGCTTGGAATGTGAAGTCAAGCGGCGCAATCTGTTATCACGTTGATATTTTCCTTAAACTGCACGACCTTTCAGGTTTCGTTACCATTGGAAAACTAAAATTGATAATTAAAAGACCTAAAACTTAATAAGACAAAATGAAAACACACAAAGCTCGCCCCTCGTCTTCTAGAGCAAATAAGTAAATTCAGAACCTAAGTAACGAAGCGTCAAATTTAAAACACTTCTGGATATAGGATACCGGGTGTTCAGAAAAGCTGGTCGTCTCCTCAAATATACGATGTGGTCATAACGTCAAGGCGGAAAGCGAGTAACTTCGTTACAATATACCGTTGGGACGTGATTTACGGACTTTAAAATTTAGGTTGCCGCAATTACGCGTTCGGCTAAGGTCAATTATTTGCAATTAGAATTATGTTTGCTCAAATATGCAAGCAACTAACGTCGAGTAAATTAAATTTAGCTGAAAGTATTAATTAATTCATTTTGCTTGCCTATTTTGTATTTTACTTTATATTTTAACTTTATCATTTCTTTCAGGAAATTTCGCTGGTTTAGAGTAGTAAAAAGCTTACCTCAGCTGTCAGGAAGGCCAGAATGGGGCCTTAAATTTTGGTTCTTTACACCGTAGCCATTACAACCCTTAATATCAGCTCGCCCGTAGCCAATCGGTCCTGAGTACTGCTACTTGCCCGTGTATTCGTAGTAGCCCGAAAGATCAGGGCTTAGTCGACGGAAGTGAGTATACCTAACCACATCCAACTTCACACTTACCGGGTAACATAAAATAGCATACAAAGCCATAAAATCGGCCAAAAAATGGAGAGTCGGTGATGTGGCCGCGGGCGGTTCGGGCCGTCGGGTTTAGCTGTGGTGGTGGTGCAAGTAGTCTAGAACATCCTTGGTGGGCATCCACCCAAATAAGTGTTCGAAAACTATCAAATTATTATTACCTACTATTTAAACATACAAAGAAAACATCACTTTATAGTAAACAAAATTGAAGTCATTTATAGGAATATTCTCATTTTATCTGACAACACAGTTTCAAAAGAAAGTTCCCAAATTTTCTCTAAATATGAGGCATAATTAACTCATACGACACACTGTTCTCATTTGAGCAAATTTAAAAAGATCGATTCCTTTAAGAATTTTTCTGATTACTTTCAATAAAATTTAATTCAATCTCGTACGGAGAACCGATAGTTATTTGAATACAAATCAAAAAGAATGTTGTTACCTTAATTACAGCGTTTTCTGTAGCCGATGGTTTCCCGATGGTACCAATCAATACTGACTTAAAGCTGGACAATATAGACCGAAACCTGGATTCTGCTAAAGTTTTTTGGATTATCTCTTCTTTTGCATCGGGCTTTGAGCCGCCAATTTTTATCGTCTGCTTTCAACCAACTTTCCGCTCTCGCAATATAATTTATTATAAGCTCACTGCAAAGTCAAACCGAAACTCATTTAATTGTTTCTTGTAGACTTATTTTAAAATGTGCCATGTACGACACTTCCGTGTTGATAATGCGCGTCACCAAAATGTAAAATAAAGTACATATTTTTGGAATTCGAGTATTTACAGACTTTCCATTTTGGACTGACGGGCAGTTTTTGCTCTAACTTTAAATACGAGTTCTTTTAATTGAGCTTGGATTTCCTGACCACGTTTTCCCGCTTAGTGTCTCAAAAACAGAACATCTCTACTTCATCCCTACCTTTTCAATCTCACAATACCGGCCTACGAATTGGCGGTAATGAGTTAAGGTGGTCATCTTTAACAGTTAATCAATCGACTTCGTTTCCTTCCCCTAATCAAGTGTGTACAAAGGCCACCTATAAAAACCCACCAGATTTAGATCATGTAACGGGGGTTTAGAAATGAAAAGGTATTATTTTCGAATTTGTATTTTGTTTAGTATATGAAAATTTAGACATGCACCGCTTCATAGCGAATGTGAACAAAAATACGTCTGACGATAACAAGCGATACCAAGATATTGCGGAAAGCGAGACCAGTTGCCACGATTTCTTCGTACCTAAAAGTTTCGTTCCGCTCTGTAAAGTTGAAGTGTTGAAAATGTTGCTAAGTTGATTTTCGCGAACCACCACGTACCATTTTAAGTGCGCTGATACACCACAAGAATCCAATAGGAATCTTACAAGACGAAATGTCAGTTACATTAATAAAATATTCAGTTCGCCGGTAATTCTTGATTGCGCTTTACTTAGGCCGTTTGATTATACGTGTCTAATCCTGATGAAATTAAAAATGCCAAAACCACTCTATTTATAGGCAAGCCTTCACAGTTTTAGCAATCGGCGTGTTATCAAACCGTATTTTATCTGAGGTATAAAACCGGCGGATAAAGCGCTTTGATCACTTTTGTTGCAAGCAATGCCGCGACTGCTAGTAGTATTGGCGTTTGTATGTCTACAGGGAAGTCAGCTTTCAAAATTTAATACGTGTGTACCCTTTTAGGTCGGCTGCATTTCGGTAGCGAAGTCTTTGTCACCAGAAGCCAGTGAAATTGCAACAAAGCATGCCATTCCCTATCAGGTACGAGTCCCTAACTCTCAGAAAGGCGATTCTTAGCCTTTTCTTCACAGGCAAATCTGAGGATAGAAGTTATCGATTCGGATATTCGATATTGCGCGGGGACGTTGATTTCGCCTAACTATGTTTTGACGGCAGCAAATTGTGGTGATGGGTAAGGGACGGAACACTGTAATTGTGATTTCACTTAGTATTTTAGTGCTAGCAAGATTTTGGTGGATATGGGTGTGGATGATGTTGAGAATAGACAAGAACCTACATGGAGAACGTATCTAGGTGACGCTTTTATCGCCCACCCTTTGTATAATAAAAGTACGGGTTATCACGATATTGGCCTGATCCACCTGTTCGAACCTGCTGAAATTAATGGCAAGTCATAGCTTACCTGACGTTCGTCTAAGTTTAGTTTTTAGATGCCATTCAGCTTGTAACTTTACCGGATCATCGCTATAAGAATCTTGCGGGAAAAATGGCAAGAATAAGTGGTTGGGGAAACGTTAACGCTAGCACCGATTTGGACCACAGACTCTTGCGTTACGCAGACATCCCCATCGGATCTCATTCAAATTGTTTGCCACAGTTTCCGTATCCCAATTTTGCTCAATTATGTCCTGCACAGTCCGACTCATACTTTCAAACTTATGATTTTGGAGCTCCGCTGATGCTGAAAGACGTCCAGGTAAAAAACTACCCCCATGTGTAACAAAGAATATTAATCGATCCTTCGTAGATTGGCATTGCTACGGCAACAAGTTTTGACAACGGAATCGAAACTAATCCACAGATCTACACCAGAGTAGATCCTTACCTGTCATGGATTATGAACAACACGGACGTTACAATTGAACAGCAGAAAGACCATCGACTAGCAGTACATTAGTTCAATTGCTTTTATATCTCGAAAAATATACCTTTTTCGCATTATTTAATTATGTTGTAGTTTATTTCTTTCACTACTAGCGTCTAATGACATGATTATTAAACTTTTTTCCACTTGTAAAGTAGGCTTTCTCGGCATTTGTCCAAAGTGGTTAATAATGTGGACATTATTAACTAGTAGTCAATAATGAGAACTGTCACGCTGTCACTTTTAGAAAACACAACCCGAAATTTCGCTCAATAAACGTTTAGACAAGTTCTCTAAAATGAATAATTGCCACCATCCGCCATTTCCAGAGAAATTACATACTTACCTAAAATTATCACATTTTGAAAAAATTCGAACGAAATTACTCTTTGAAAATATCTCAATGACAGAACAAAATACGGCCTGTTTGACTTGTACTTCTATGTACTTGATTGACATGTTAAATTAATAAACAAAAAATTCTGTCCAACCGTTCATTTTCTTATCAATATAATATGTTAATTTAGAGGATTTCAAGTGCTAGTAGTGAAAAAAATAGTATATATACCACGCACCTTATAACCAATAATACTGTACTTCTCTACCTTGATATATAATGTACTATTACTTTTGCTTAGTTGCATTACACACAGTATTAGCAATTTTAAATTGAAGTATATCCCAGCTTATTTATAATCCCATAGCTTAGGATAAGAAGATGCCTGTTTAATGTATGCTTCCCACGTTTCCAATCGCGAATAAATGCACTTTTTTGCAATATTCAATTTTAGCCATTTGCTGCTCAAATATTAATTGGCTTACTGATTTTGCTAGAGGGCCCAGCAAAAATGTGATTTTAACATACAAACTTTATTGGAGAAAATCTAATTTTCTTAGTGAAAGGCTTCCTAACTGCAAATCCAAGTGTAATTGTTGATTAAAGAATAATTCTCTGCTGATAATTAACATACGGTCGCATGTAAAGTTAATGAAATTTGATTGCTTATTCTTACTATTAACAGTTGGAATCTATGTCCGTATTTCGTACTTTCCTTTCTTTAACAGTAGCCTCCGCTTGTGGATAGTTTTACTTTAGATATCTACCAGAGGATTAAGCCAATTCCAAAGATGTGTATAGACTTTTTTTGTTTTTTTACGCTATTGCTGGTTTTGCAGTTTCCTCATCAGATAAGTGGGTCAAATTCTATCAACATTTTTGGGGGTAAATCTTAAACTGCAAATGAAATCTCCTGTGCAACACGGATTAGATTAACCCCTATCGTTACGTAGATAGCAATTTTAATTAATTGTATCCAATCTTATGAATTGCTTAAGTTTTAAACGATTTAAAATGATGAGATTGCGGTCAAGTCCGAGTAAAATATGATAAATTTAACAAATTATCGGGACCACCTAGAAACAGAATTGTAGGCCTTGGTAACTATAGATGATTGTCATACCGTTGGTAAACAACGCGATCGCTATGGCCAATTTATTTGGTACTATTCTGACCTTAAATAAATTTGCCCCGATTTTGATTAACAATATTTTTCTACTTCCTCGCAGCAAAACTACTAAAAAATGTACCCATGAACCCCTGCGTACATTGATCGCACGCAACTGGTCAATGCGGGATCGACATGTGACCGGTTTCGTATAGGTTTCGTCAAAAAGGATACATGACGCTAATAAGTGCCCCCCACGTACGATCATGAAATTAATAAAAATAGCTAGAGGGCACCTTAATTAAGCGTTTTCAACAAAAAAATTTCGGAAGACCTAAATTTTCCACAATTTTAATTAAAAGTTCACTTCATTTCGTTGAAATCTCGTGTTATGTTACTTATATTTCGTTATTCTTGAGTTGGTGAAACTGAAAAATTTTAAGTGACGGCTTTCTTTACTTATTTAATAAACAAAGGTGGGAGCTAATTTTTGTGGGAGGTTATGTTAACTTCTTGCATCTTGCATCTCGCAATGATCGAGTTCTCCGTGTCGAACACCAAGAAGGGAAACCCCGAGCACTTTCTGCATGTTTCGTATACCAATTCGTTTGTATCGACCGCCGATTAACTTGGAACGTCTTTTTCATGTCAATCCCTACTTAGCATCCACCACCGTATACAGTCGAGAGAAGAAGGAATATCTCTCACATCTTCCATAGATCGCCTCTTTGTTAGCGACCACCGATTAACTTGGAACACCTTTTCCGTATGAATCTCTGCTTATCAGCCACTGCCTTATACATAATCGAGAGGGGAAGGAATATCTCTCGTATCTTCCATAGATCGCCTTTTTGTTAGCAACCACCGATTAACTTTGAACATCTTTTCCGTATGAATCGCTGCTTAGCATTCACCGCGTTATACAGTCGACAGGGGAAGGAATATTTCTCGCATCTTCCACAGATCGTCTGTTTGTTGGCGACCGCCGATTAACTTGGAACGTCTTTTTCATGTCAATCGCTACTTAGCATCCACCACCTTATACAATCTAGAGGGGAAGGAATATCTCTCGCATCCTCCATAGATCAATCGTACCGTGTATAGGGCCCTTTACAAGATTGAAAACAATAAGTGCAATAACGTTGTAGTAAAACATCTTCAGAGGTACCTACACTTTGTTAGTATTTCAAGCACGACAATTGCTGCCCATAAAGTACACATGAATTGTGTAAAACATATAGAGAACCACTTACTGCTATTCAACGATATTCAACGAAATGAAGTGAACTTTTAATTAAAATTGTGGAAAATGTAGGGCTTCTTCCGCAATTTTTTGTTGAAAACGCTTAATTAAGGTGCCATGCAGCCATTTTTATTAATTTCATGATGATACCTGGGGAGCTTATTAGCGTCACGCAACTCGTCAAAAATAGGTCACAGCCTCGCAAGTGGACGGACATAAGTTGTCTCAATAAGTAAAACTGCTTGCGTAACTAGTTTCATTGGTTGGACGCATCTGGTTTCATTGGTTTCGTTGCGTAAATGAACACGGAAAAACTGAAGGGAGATCTAAATAGGGTTCACTTAGTAAAGTCTAGTCTTTAAGGTCGTTAAGTTACCCTGTTAATATTTGTTCGGCGAAACACGCTTTAATACGAATCTGACAGGTTTTGCTCAGAAACCAAAGCAACTCACTTTTAAAACATCACAACTGACTCGAAGACAATAATGCATAGTTTTGTCGCTGCTCGGGTGGTAAGACTCTATTACATTATTTCTTTATTCTTGATAACAGAAATTTTTTAAAACCGAAATTTCATGTGTAGAGCTTCTTGCACAACATTACACTTGCTTCCGCATTATTTAACTAACACGAGGACGGTTACGTTTTTTTTATTTTTAAAATTGCACAGCGTGCTGGACCACCGATACCAAAATTAGCACCACAAACAATTACGCTCCCTTTCAAAATAACTCGAGACAACCTCGTTTACACCTCATTATTCCTATTTAAGCAAAAACCACCTCCTCTAATAAAATAAACATCGTTATTCCCGACGACAATCGTAAATTCCATCTACACCGCCAGAACTGGTAAAACATCTGCATCGCTTATCTCGCACGTGACATTGTTTGTCAAAAATTTAATTTTTGTCCGATAACATTTCTTCTGACCAGATAAAACTTTAAACTCACGCACAAATTTTGATTAAATGTTCCTTAAGTTACCCCTTTTAAATATCTCATACAAACTAAATTGAATTAAATAAATTTAACTCTTACCGACTAAATTTACAATAGGAAACATTGAATAACAATTTCTTCCAACGCGTGAATTGTTGCCAAGGTCAAACCTCACCAATGCGGCGGCGGTTTCGTATTAGCCAAGGCAAGCTTGCAGTGTAAACCAAAGATGCAAGTGTACTATTGTGTACTCTGTAATAATGCAGTACGTTTGTTGCAGCATCGTGCATATATATAAACTCTTATTCATATGGCGAGTACGAACACCAATCTAGATCTTTGGCTTGGCGAAGATGGTGGTCATTGTTTGAAGGAACGAGGACCGATTTAATTTGGTACGGGTTACGTTTTTTCCAATTGTCAACGCCGTTGGAAGTCTGTCCATGTCTCATACAGAAGCTACAATTACCAAAAACGCTGATCCTGCCCTAGGGTAATATACTCATCATGCAGGAATGTCTAGATATATCCGATGTTTTCAAGTAGGACGAGCTAGAAGTATTGTAAATTTCTGTTTGTATATTTTACCAGTTAAAAACCGCAGATCATTACGGTGATGTTAAAGAATCTAAAGTAGATAATAAAGTTTTCCATTTTTATGTGAGGAACGAAACTTAATTTGGAAAAGTTCTTTAATTTTTGGAGTTGGATTGTACAGTTGTCGTAATATTGACTGTCAGCAGCATTTTTTAAGTAGTTTTCTGTGAGTAATGGGAACACATTGGTGCTGACCAATAACGTGGATTATCTTACTAGGTGTTTAAAACTTTGATTATTTTACACCAGTAAAAAAATGATTGATTCGATTTTGATACCCGACCTGCCACAAGCCGATTCCAGATTTCAAGGAGAAAATGTACCAATTTAGCGCGCTATCTGTAGAACATAATTTGCGGTATCCGCGGATTACGATTTTGAGTTATTTCTGTGTTGGAAACCGACTTCTATCATGGCGCGATTCGTAACAGTATTGACGTTGGTACGTAAGTAAAATTGAAATGATCTAGTCAATTGTTTTCCTTTAGGTTTGCTGTGCTTGGGCAGTGAAGGCTTTATCGCGCAATGGTACCGTTATTGCGGAACCGCACTCAATTCCTTATCAGGTACGTGTACACACCTCCCAAAAATAATGCACAGGTTTTTTCTTCAGGCGGATCTTATAATAGAAGTCATAGACGATGATACACGTTACCGCACAGGATCGTTAATTTCGCCCAACTATGTCTTGACAGCCGCCAATTGTGTTGTCGGGTAAGATACCAAGACTAGTGGATAAGCTATGACGTACTTCTCCTTCAGTTCGTCCAACATAACAGTAGTTATGGGTGTATATAACGCCGAGGACAAAGAAGAACCTACACGGAGGACGTACGTAGGCGACACTTATGTTGTTCATCCTTCATACAACCAAAGCACAGGCTATCACGATATTGCCGTAATTCATCTGAAAGACTCGGCTGAAGTTAATGGTAAGCCTTAGTATCCGAAAATGCTATATCTGTCTTCTTGTAGAATTCGTCCAACCTGTGATTTTGCCGAGACATCGCTACAAGGACCTCATCGGTCAACAGGCACAAGTGAGTGGATGGGGAAACGTGTCCGCCGGTTGCGATTTGGAACTATCAAAGATGCGCTACGCAAATATTACCATCGGATCTCCTTCAGATTGCCTTCCACAGTTTCCACACCCCGATTCGGCTCAAATGTGCCCCGTACCTTCTGACGCACTTTTTCATGTCACCGACTTTGGTGCTCCGCTCGTCCTGAATGATGTCCAGGTATAATTTACGGTTCTCATTACTACCAGTAATGATTGTTTAATAGATTGGTATTGCCGCTGCGACCAGTTTTACCAACGGAATAGAAAGTAACCCACAAATCTACACCAGAGTAGATCACTATTTATCGTGGATTAACAACAATACAGATGTCAAAATTAAAGAGACTTGCTAATCGTGATGTGTTGTTTCAAAGTTAATGTGTTGAAAAAGATATTTATGCCTTTACTATAGTTATCTCTGTATTAACTTGTATTTGTGTAAAAGATCGCTACGGATTTGTAATGAAGAACTGGCTTTTTTATTGAATTAACTAATGCACTTACGTAAATGTTTATGGTATTGGCATTATCAAAGGTCCAAGAACGCAATACATTCAATATGAAGTAAAGTTACGAGTCACCGTGAAGAATTTATCAGAATCCTACAAGAGAACGTGAATCAAGCTCTATGCTACTACACGGTACAGCACGTACCGGGTGCAAGGTGTGAAATCGACCATCAACACGTTAATATTACGTAAAATATATCCTTCCAACTAGGGAGAGAAGGAGACCACATTTAAAAAGCACGCTCTGATCAGCAATACTATAGTCGAACCAGGGCCACCACATTCACCGAGTTCCTCGTCGAACTCCGAAAGATAGAAAATGGAGCATGGTCCGACACAGCCGCCACGAACTCCATCGATCGTTCAGTCAGCGATCGAACCGAAGTAGCGTTACTCATACTGCCATAACAATGGATACATAAGGGCAGAGTGTCGCAAGTGCAAGAGGCAGGAATCCACCACCTCGACCGCATCCACACCTGAATGTGCACGAAGGCAACTACGAAACAGCCAATCAGCTGTTACAGTTGTGGACAACCAGTGGTTATGCTCGGCAACTGCCCGAAATGAAATCCGCCTTCCAACTCACCAGAACCACTTTACTTCCTTCCTTCCTAACGCGGAAAGGAATTATTCGTCGACGGAACGCGAAGCTCTTGCTAGAAGGAGTACCTACGACACTAGGTACGGACCACCAACCCCTCAAGTGCCTGATGTCTATCAAGACCCCAACTGGCTGACTAGCTCCGTAGGCACTATCCCTCTAACCGCTCAACCTGACCTTGCAGTACATTCCCGGGAAACCCAACGTAGTGGCCGACACGATATCGCGCCCACCATGTCCGCCTCGTGTAGACCAGATGTCCGAAGTCTGTCCTGCTGACTATTCCCGGTGAACTTAACGAGGCTACCTCATGAGCCAAAGAGTGCTCTACCGATATTCCCCTGACAATCAGTGGGAGGATGCCCAACTTGTCGTTCTCGCAGCAGAAAGACAGCAAGACTATCACGACGCTCCAATAGCAGGACACTATGGTGGCGATCGCACTCATGATGGCATCACCAGTCGATATTACTGGGTGGGAATGAGGAAATATGTATCTTACGTCCGAAATTGTTTCGGCGGGGGTTACTGCACACTCCTGTGGTTACGCAACGATTGGAACAAGCATCAATGGACCTATTCGGGGTGCTACTCCAAGGCCTTAAAGATGAAAGGTTGATTTTTATCGCAGACCACGTCGCTTCCAGCTGGATGGAATTGTTCGTATCAGACGCTCAGTCGTGCGCATGCAACCTCATTGACGGAGTGTTCCCGAGGTATGACTGATTCTTAGAAAGTAAAAATCTGGAGGTCTATCTGTAACAGCCAAGTTTTTTGTAATCAGTGATCAGTGAAGAGAAGATCCAGATCATTCTGAATGTTCAAAAACATCCGAACAAGGTATTGGTGATTCGAATGACGGAGAGAATTGTGATCATAGGCCAGACGAAACGGTAAAAAAAATCCTGATAGATTTTTCCTTTACCTACTGTTGCAAAATGGGGTAGTTTTGACATATCACGTTGTGAACATTCATGAATTCAGAAAAAAATCAAAATCTGTCCACTCACGCGAAGAAATTTCTCGCAACGTAGCTAAAAATGTCAATCGCGAATCAATTTTTTCCCAACCCGATACTTATACAGGGTGGTGCCTAGCGCAACGCAGCATAGGGATTTCAATGGTACTTTCTTTATAGTCAATTACTAGCTCCCCTATTTATTTTAGAGCAAAAGTCTAAATATGTTTCTTTTAGAGAAAAAAATACTGCATCTGTTCATACTTTTAGTTATAATTTTCTATTTTTCAAAACCGTAGAAATCGAGAAAATAAAAATTACATTTTTATAAATCAGTGATGCTTTGGAATCTTTAACAAACTGCAAGCGCATCGCATCTAAGTTATCGTTGTTTGACGTCGAACGATTTTCATATTTAATTCTGTTTCAACTAACCGACGCAATAAAAGGCATCTTATGGTAATGTTTTTTTAGAGAATGTATGCTGCATCTGCATCACATACTATATGTTTATCATTTTTCGCAATTCGAGTACCTACATAATCGAAGAAAAAAAACTGATTTGAAGAAGATTTGTTCCTAAACTTATATTCGGATTTTCCGCTACTGCAGCCAAAACGTTGAATGTATTGTCGTTTTCCTGATGGTTTTGACGGGCATTTTGAACGTTATTGCACTTGCAGTTCTTTAACTAATTTATAAACAAGTATAAATTTAATATACTTCAAAGGCAAGTAATGAAACGTGATCGCTGTTTTTTTAGGTAATTCCAAGGCATATTTGATTGATTGTAAAATGAACCTTTTTATTTTGTCGATTTCTACGGTTTTGAAAAACGGAAAATTATAACTAAAAGTATGAGCAGATGCAGTATTTTTTTCTCTAAAAGAAACATATTTAGACTTTTGCTCTAAAATAATTAGGGGAGCTAGTAATTGGCTATAAAGAAATTACCATTGAAATCCCTATGCTGCGTCGCGCTAGGCACCACCCGGTATGTGGTCGCACCTAACGTAATACGTGACCGCTCGCGAAAATGACCTTAGAATTATCGCAATTATGCGGTTCTCACAGAATAATAATACGTGTGAACTCTTTGAAGGTCTAACCTTGTCTGCCCAAAACTCCCTTTACAACTCGGCATCACTGGCTTTTTATTTCGAAAATGCACACTTTCTTGTCGCTCTTCTTCCAGGCATACTTTCGTTCACGTTCGCTATGAAGCGGTATATGTATAAATTTTGTTATGTTGAATAAACTAAAAATTTGGAAATAAAACCTGTGAAAGCGAAATTTACTGAAACAAATAAAAATGGGAAGAAAATGTAAAAGGGTAAATTAGGAAGGGTTAAAAACCTACGAACGCATCATCAGTGTAGTGGAAACGAAACCGAAACGACAGATCAGACAAAAATATCACTGCGTTTTGTCTCGCTGCAGGTAAATGACAAAACCTTCTCTTCCTTTGGGATATTAGATGACAAACAATACTAATCATACAATCCTGTAAGGTGCGAACGGGACAGTCTGGTAGAGGGAGGGGAATATATTTCGTAAGTACATACTTAAAAAACTTATCGCGATAAACGCAGATATAAAAGCAAACGATTTCAATAGAAAAAACCTTTGTCTACGAACTGCTCTCGAAGATGGCACTTTTACGCGCAATACTGTTACTATCAATTGTAAGTTCGCGGATAAGAGCAAACGTCATTTAAAAACATTCCTTTCCAGGGGGCAAGCGTTTCGGCTGTTAAGGTGGCGGTACCTTCATTGCGCATTGCAGGTGGCGAGGTTGCAGAAAAACACTCCATTCCTTACCAGGCAGATCTCATAGTGAAGTTTCCCGAGTCTGAAACCCTTTTTCGAACGGGGACTTTAATTTCTCCCACTTATGTATTAACAGCTGCCAATTGTGTTGTTGAGTGAGTTTTAAGTGGAAATCTCTCCCCCTTGTTAGTTTCGCCATTTTGCAGTTCTTCCAATATTACCGTAATAATGGGAGTCTACAACGTTGAGGATAAGAAGGAGCCTACAAGACGAAAGTACAAGGGAGTATCTTATACTGCGCATCCACTTTACAATGCAGATGGCCTGAACGATATTGCCGTGGTGCGCCTGAATCAATCTGCTGAAATCAATGGTAAAAGTGCCTAAACATTAACTCTCTCCCTGACTCGTTCTTTTAGAGTACATACAAGTTGCCTTATTACCACGCTATAGCTATTTATTTACAAAGCCCCTAATAGGAAAGGTGGCCAAAGTGAGCGGATGGGGAAACGTCGACGGCAACTCTGATCCAGAACTGACCGTACTACGTTTCGCCGAGATCACCATCAGGCATCATACTGAATGTCGGTCGAAGTTTCCACGCACTAATTCTGGACAGTTGTGCGGCACCGACCCCGAGAGATATTTTGAAATTAGCGACATTGGGGCACCTCTCGTTTTAGGCAAAGTTCAGGTATGTACGTGGAGAATTATGTCATCATTTTAATATCAACTCGACAGGTTGGAATCGCAGCAGCAACGACTATTATAAACGGCACGGAACGTAGTCCCCAAATTTACACACGGATTGATCGATACCTACTTTGGATTGGTTCCAATACAGACGTCACCATCGAATTGTGATTTTACTCAATGCCCGATAATGTACTCCAAAGATTAAATCATTTCAAAAAGTATACTTTTGATAAGCGACCAGCACTGAACGATAACGCTCATTGCTTGAACTTCGGATGACTATCGTTCCCGGATCACATGAAATCGTTGTGAATGCTTGATGCCCAAGTTCAACACAAATCAAAAGTAATCCACCCGTCTATCCAAAGCCTCTGCTACAGATCATATAGAAAATACTAACTGTATCTCTTATCATTGTTTAACAAGCATATCTAACCCCCGATTTGTTTCCTGTTTACTTCACATTTCCAAACACCTCGAAGGAGTTATGTACTGTGCATTGCAGTTAAAACGATCCACCCTTAATAAATCATTTGATATTGAGGCTAAAGGCCGTGAAACACGCCAAATTTAGTTTTCAGTGGATCACATTTCTACGTAAAAATCAACCCCTTGTCACCCTCCCCCTCCCCATATAAACTCAAATATAAAAAATTTCAAATGGAAAGGGCATTGCTTATCGTGGCCTCAATGTTGAGACAAATATCGGTTTCACAGTGGCCACTTGGACCCCCATTTGAATGTAATTTTCTATCCCTTGGATCTAAAAAAAATATGAGGGTAATTACGATCCCTCCTTTACCAATTCATTTGAACCTTGGATCCTAATTTTTCAGCCCACTGATTTGTAAAGAAATTTGCTTTTCAAAGAAAATCCCCTCCTCCTCTTAAAAACCCGGTTGTCGGATATAAATCAAAAATTGTAATTTAGTAGACTAACGACACCCCTTTTACTTTTTCGATGCGCAGCTGAAATACCGAGTCTTCCCCTAGATTTAGATGCCCTGGATTTTTTGGAACTATGGTCTCATAACGTGATGCCTGATTTTTTATTGAAACGTGTCCCCTGAACTGTTAAATCCTAGATTGTGAGTATTTGTCGCTTTTGATGCGATTGAAGCGACAGAGATTTAAATTCGTGGTGCGAATTAATTAGGTCCTTCAACCGAATGGAATTGACACGGCCTTACGTACGCGTCTGCATATTTTACGTACTATAGGTCAGTCTCATAAACTGTTTATTTTCAAGATTCAAGATTAACTGGAAAAATTTAATTCCTTTCTTAAGGAGGTTTATAACTCCGTTCTGCACATTTGAATTTGATTTATTTTCGTTCATACGATTACATTAATTTTTATTTTGCTATGCGGTTAATTAATTGCCGCCATTTGCTCCTTTAACTTATTCTGCTACTTCGACTGTTTCATGTTAAGGTACGGATACTCGATGATGAAAACTTTTCCACGTGTAATCCCTCAGGTTCTTCTCCGCGAATTTTTTAATTCGTTCACCCACTCAAGATGTAAAACTTTCCATATAGAATTTCGGATTATTAAATAAACACGTTTTAATTATTGTTAAAACATTCTGTGAAACGCCCGAAAAATTATAAACCTGACGCCAAACACTTTGATGATATCATCATGGGTAATCCTGACCGAGACGTTTCGGGCACGTAAAAACATTAAGATTACTGTATCGGGTCAGACTGTCGCCAATAACTTTCCCGAAGTATTAGCTGTTAACGACGCATACGAAATCCTTTGACCCATAAACTATTGATTGCCAATTTCGTTGACGATTATGGGTAAATCAACTATACCTCGGAATTCTATTTTTCCAGCAGTATCGCTAAGTATCAACTTAACTTTGATTGTAAAAAGTCCTATCCATTTCTTCCTTGGTCTGCTGTTCATTTAAATTGATATTATTGTGCAACCCGGCAACAAAACTTTCGTAAACAAAATTTTGAGTAATTAACGATATACAAAGGAGTGTAAAACGAAAAAAAAGTTCGCTAATATTTTCGTAGAATATTGCACCCGTCACTCATTATCTTAATTCGAAGGTAGTTTCCATTAATTAAGTTGCAACAAATAAGTAAAATAATTAAATCTTAAAACGAATTAAATATTAATTGAAAGTTTAATTAGTGAAGCTTAAAGATGGGGACCTTGTAGGGAAAAATTATATGCCCTTGACAAATACAATAGCGATTTATAGCGGTTTGCGCAGTCGAATTAAAGCTAAACTTGGGAAAGACAGTGTATGAGACAATGGCTTACCAACTTTACAATTATTATCAGTGCTAGAGTCGGTTAAATTAGGAAATGGGCCAAGTCAAGAAAAAAGATGGGACATCAAGTGACGAAGATATTCAACAAATAAACATGTTTTTAATGGAAGAAATGTCGGATCACATTCAAAGTAAATTAACATATCTTCAATAAAAAAAACAAAAACAATAAACAAAACAATAAATTAAAAAAAATAAACAAAAGGATATCAATTAATGTGCCACTCCGAATCGTTACAAAAAATTCTAATAAAAAAAAATAAATCAGTGATATACATCGATAAACATCACACTAAAAAACTCTAGTTTTTGTGCTAGTTGATTTTGTAGTTTTAGTTACTTTTAATAAGTTGTTTATTTTTTTTGTATTTTTTATCAAGAAATTGTAACAGGGTGGTTGCGTATTAAAATATGCAAGAATGTGCAGACCGTTTCTTAAAAAATGACAATTCTTTTGAATCAACTGGTTTTAGTTGCCACATTTGTTGCAAAAGTTTTAAGAATGCATCTGGTTCATGTTGGCAAGGTGCATCGGCTGCTGCCTGAGTGTAGCCAACCATCCCAGACAAAAGAAACAGGAGTTTTGAATTCTAGCTCCGATGTTGAAGAGCTTTTTTTGATGCCCGTTTTTGGAAATCGTAATCTATGTAATGTAAACCCATATAAGGCGCTTTTCCTTCTTTGTAACTGTGTGTGGATACCAAAAGTTAAATATCTTTTGACATTTGTCCATTTTGGAAAGACTTTTTGGCACCAAGATCAAAAAGATCTTAGAGGATCTTTTAAATATCAGTCTTTCTCCGATTTCGTGGAATTAAGCGTCCCTTACTATCTCTTGATATTAGGGAATCTAGGAATTCGTCCCAAATTTGATCTGCATTTACCTTCTTTTCTTGCTTCCATTCATTGTAGCTTTGACAGATTTTCAGATCTAGCTTTAAAATTTCGGTTAACACAACACCTGAATTTTTCTAGATAGACCCGCTTCAACAAAAATTGAGATTTGCAACTTACGACACATATTTCCGTAGGTACTTAAATGACTTGGTAGCTACAGTAATACGAAATTAACAATTGTGTTGGCTTTATTTGGGATACACTGTGTATGCTCTAGAAGATTATTATACATTTTCAATTCGTGTGCATCTATTATTGTAGGTGCAAAGTATTTCGCTTGTAATTCCACTTAGATTTTCTTCCCGCGTAGGGTCGGGAAAGAATAGCCCTACCGCAGAGGCCACTGCGAGGCGACTAAACAACTGCATGCCTGGCGAAAGTTTCAAACAAATCCTCTCGACAGTGCAACTCCACGGCTCATAGGATAGAAGTGAATCTTTTCTACCGCCATTTTTTAGGTTTTGCTAGATTTTCTTATATTGTGTATTTTGCACGCTAATATTTCTCCTGGTAAAGTTTGATTTTAATCGCTAGCTGCTCACATTTTTTCAAGATTGGAATTTCTAATAACGAGTCACCCTGTATATTTCATAGTTATTTTCATGTTATTGCGTATAATTTTTTTTTACTTTTATTGTCAATCAATTGATTGTGAATTTATTTGAATCCATTGTACGACCCAGATAGAGTTTTCTTGTTCAAATTTTTCTATTTGTGCTCATGATTTAACTCAGGTGTAATTGAGTCGGTTGAATCGGTGCAATACTGTAGACCATATAATAAAAAATAAACAATTATCAGGTGTTGCATTATTCAGATGAATGCGATTACAAGCACTTTATTAACAAATGTACAACGAATATATTATTATTTGACTTATTAGCAATAACTACGGCTGTCGGCTAGAAAAATCACACTCCTAAAATTTTCAAATCTTTGTAAAACGTCTTATAAGAATACCTACGTACATCGTATGATATCGGTGTCATAGTTTCGTCTTTCTTCTGCTAAAAATGCGTAAAAAATTAGAACTTGAGCTGTCAACCTCACAAATTACTTACGTGGTCCAAAGTCGGAACTGTCGGAACCATAATTTGGTCTTATTGCTAAAAGTGTTACCTTTTAGATCGCGTTTTAAACTTGCTACGAATTACTTACGGGGTCCGAATTGTGAACCGTCAAATTCGGAATCTGAGTTTGGTCTTCCAGCTGAAAATGTATAAATCAGAGGGTCTCTCTCCAACAACACTTACGTGGTCCAAAGTCGGAACCGTCATAACCGTAATTAGGTCTATTTGCTAAAAGTTTTAACATTTAGATCCACATTTTAGGATCACTACAAATCACTTACGAGGTCCGAATTGAGAACCATAAAATCCGGAATTATAGCTTGGTCTTATCGCTAAAAATGTTTAAATTAAAAAGCGTGGTTTTAGCTCCGATGAATTACTAACGTGGCCCAAAGTTGGAACTGTCAAAACCGGAACCATAACTTGGTCTATGTGCTAAAATTGTTAACATCTAAATTAAGATCTAAACTTTTGCCGAATTACGTACGTGATCCTAAGTATGAGCCGTCGAAACCGTAGTCGAATCCTGGCCGATATTGTGCTAAAACGCAAATAACACAATTTGTAGGTAGTGGTAAATTTGTTACATACGTGGAACAAATCCCCAGTTGGAATTAGGCCGTGCTGAAAACAAACTCTCAGTCTCTGACTTTGTTAGTTAGTCACTTACGTGGTCCATACTGCGATCCATCAAACCCCTGGTCGTAGTCGGGAACTGAAAGTAAAACACTGTGAAGCCCGCATGGACTTGTATCTAGCTTACGTACATCCCCCTAAAAGAGTCCCGTCGAAACCTTGATCTATCGCCGACGGTCGTGCTAAAATTATCCCCCTGTATTATGTAGTGTCGGTTTTGCACTTACGTGGCCCAAAATCGGATCCGTCGCCATTGCCTCCAGGTTTAGGCTTTCCACCGGCTAAAAAGAGTCCCTACACCAAATAGATATTAAACAAACTTTACATACGTGGCCCAAAATCAGATCCATCGCCACCACCCTCTGGTTTAGGCTTTCCACTTGCTAAAACAGAGTATACAGCGGACATAGGGCAAATGTCTTTACGTACGTGGTCTAAAATCTGAGCCATCACCGTTATCTCCCGGTTTAGGTTTTCCAGCAGCTGAAAACGACCACACAATTAAGATTCAACGCAATTTTATACATACGCGGCCCAAAATCGGATCCATCCCGTTCGTTCGCTTTCAAATTAGCTGTAATACAACAGATAGATAATGTGACGTCGATTTTGTACTTACGTATGTCTGCTTGTGGGTAAGCGATGGTGTAGGGGAGTAAAAGAAAGGAAACTGCGAGCAAGGGGAATATCTGAAAGTTCCCTAATAATCAAGGTTCCATAATTCTACAAATCTTACCATTGTCTCACTTAGAATTTAATTTGCGAACTAAAATCGACCTTGCATTGTTACTCACTTTTATAGCGATTTCGACCACCAAAAAAAAACCTTACAATACACTCACTCTTGCTTTAAAAAAACATGATTTACGTAATGTCGCTTTAGTAACAAAAAATGGTCGGATACATATCGTTATTCAGAAACGTCTTAATTAAAATGCATTGAGTACATTAGATAAAAAATCTTGTAACGATTATTTGTTTACTTTTTAAATATTGAGGTAGTTGCCTAGTTGTGACTGGCCTTGTATATAGGTACTCTTACATCATTTGAAAATTAGGCGGACACTCGTGAAATTAATTTTCGGTGTATTCAGTGTCAACGCTTCGGGGAATAAAAGAGGAGGGTAATTTTACGCTACTTAAGCTCGGTTACCATTAGCCTAGTCAGTTACAGTGAGTGCACAATGTGTGCAGATCTTCTTCGCAATTTCTGTGCCGTAGATTTAAATGTTTCAGATTCAGCCAGTCTCCTAGCAGAATGATTTCAGGCTTAACCCAAATGCAGCCCTTCCTAAACCAACCCTCTATGAGTGAACCGCCAGAAGTTCCCATAACCCACTATTTCGGTTGCTTTAGGGTCTTCCAATTCTTCAGGTACTTTTGTTTCTTTCCATATTCTCTAAAATCTTCATTGTATCATTTGTATATTTTCCTTACTGTTGAGCTTCTTCAGAGTCATGGAACTCTTCCGCTCTTTCGGATTTCGTTTTTTCCCATTTATTGAACTCTTTAGAATCTTGTTGGAAACTTTCGAAAACTTCGGATAGTCCGAGAGCCATACAGCACATACAGCCAACCCCCTCCCCCCTTCATCTTATATTACAAGAAATATACTGCACCAATCTCCATCTGCATCCGACGTACGGAGTCTTCGCTCCATCGCGATCTCGCTTCTCCTGTTAGCAAGCATTGTCCTTGATCCTGATTCTCCCCAGACCATCCTAGTACGAATACCCGATGTTAATGCCCTATGTGTATTTACGTGTTAAATGTCATTTGAGAAACCAGAGCCTAAGCCCTTTTCGTATCGTTTCCGTTAACTCATATTTTGTTAGTATCATTTTTTTCTTTTTAAGCGACTACGGTAATTCCTGTTCAACTTTACGGTACCTAGTTCTTTTTGCATTTCCAAAAAATGTAGGAAAAGAGAGCTATCAAGTTTTCCTCTGGTGGGTTGTTTGTGATTTTCCAGAAATTGTGATTGAATCTTCTTTTTCTTAGCGGCATTCCATACTCCCAGGCTCCCCGGTACTGCATTCTGTACAATACCTTCACTCTCCACAGCGCATCAACGAAAATAACTGCAAAACACGCACCAAACTTAAATACAAGAATTCAAACATGCTACTACATTCTGTGCAATACTCAGGATAAGATGATCTGGTAATCTTCTCAAAAACTATGAGATGTCCTGAGGGCTAAACGTTTTGTGGCGGAGACCGTAGCACCGGAGCGTCTAGGTGGTATGAAATACCCCCCCAGTATTCCAGAAAAACTCCCATGAGAGTTCTGGAGCGGGTTATAAGAAGAAAGAGTCGTCAAGTTCTCCTTTGTTATCTTCTGAAAAACTATTAGAGTACTGAGGTCTAAACGTTTTATGGCGAAGAAAGAAGCACCGGGGGTCTGGAGGGCATGAAATACTCCCCAGTATTATGCGATGGCTCCGTTGCCTTTTCCAGAAAACCCCCCTGAGAGTTCTACGTGCATCATTTCCATGCGCCGCCGTTCCAACTTCCAATACTTGACTTATCCCGGAAGTGGACTGACCAAGATGAACATGGGTGATGGTGGACCACTTCCTTCCAGCCTACTTCGAACCTTCGAATATTTCGGTTGCTTTTGATCCTGATTTTTCTGTTTATCTGTAAGGGGTGTAAAAGTGCTCTCAGAACTAGCATTGATGTCATACTTGTCTTATAATTGCGCATTTATAAAAAACAGAATCTGTTTGCATTCTTAATTAGATAAATCGAATCAGCAGATCGCAGAAAAAATCCTGTATAATGCTCGTGCAGGTTAATTAATGATATACAATTAAAGATGATAATTACTTTGTTTTGTCGCAATGAATTTTTATCTTCATTGTGGTTAATTAAAGGAATAAAGGGCGACAAATAGCGTAGATGTCAATATCCTCCCTTTGTGTTCATCATCCTAACAAGTTTTGTCAACTGTTTCCATTGACAAGGTTCCTATAGCTAATTTGACTCATTATTTTTCAAATGAAAATATGCGTAACGGTTAGGAAGGTCATGCATGCAATGTGAAGTCCGATCGAAAAAGTACGAATTGATTTGGATTCTACGTACCAAAATTAATAAGAAAAAGTGTTTTCCCGAGAAATTTTGGTGTAGTCGATTTTTGGTAAAAAAGGAAGGTTATACACTGCCTTTTTTTGAGGCCCGAAAAAAAAATTGTCTCAGATTGACCCGGAAAAAAAATTTTCTTATAGAATGTGGCCTGTAGAATCCATAATTTCAAACAGTTCCAAGATTGGGCTACTAGTTCAAAAGTTACAGCACTTTGAATTTTCTTTCGAAATTGGTTTCTAGTCTATAACTTTTGATTGAGAAGTCTGATCGAAAAAGTACGAATTGTTTTGGATTCTACGCGCCAAAATTAATAAGAAAAAGTGTTTTCCCGAGAAATTTTGGTGTAGTCGATTTTTGGTAAAAAAGGAAGGTTATACAATGCCTTTTTTTGAGCCCCGAAAAAAAAATTGTCTCAGATCGACCCGGGAAAAAAATTCTTATAGAATGTGGCCTGTAGAATCCATAATTTCAAACAGTTCCAAGATTGGGCTACTAGTTCAAAAGTTACAGCCCTTTGAATTTTTTTTCGAAATTGGTTTCTACTCGTAGTCTATAACTTTTGATTGAGTCTGATCGAAAAAGTACGAATTGTTTTGGATTCTACGCACCAAAATGAATAAGAAAAAGTGTTTTCTCGAGAAATTTTGGTGTAGTCGATTTTTGGTAAAAAAAGGAAGGTTATACACTGCCTTTTTTTGAGCCCCGAAAAAAAAATTGTCTCAGATCTACCCGGAAAAAAAATTTTCTTAGAGATTGTGGCCTGTAGAATCCATAATTTCAAACAGATTGGGCTACTAGTTCAAAAGTTACAGCCCTTTGAATTTTTTTTCGGAATTGGTTTCTAGTCTATCACTTTTGATTAATACCAATATGGGCAATATAATTCTATATTGTTACTGTTTCTCATAGAAGGAATTTATAATTTCAGACCGTTATACACAAAATCGAAAAACTTTTACTACCCCATTTTGGAAAATTTTTGTCGCCGAGGGTTAAAATCAACCACCACTGAAAATCCAAGCACATGTATCAGTATAACAAACGAAAAATATCGTGGGTAGGAGAGTTCGTTTGAGAGCTCATAAAACTTTAAAAATTTGCGTTTCTCCTTTCCCAAGATGGTGCACTCTTGGAGTAGGTGTCAAAAAAGATATGATCGCAACGAAATTTCTAGAGGAAAAAATTTTAGGGCAAACCCAAAAACCCAGACAAGTACATGATTTCATCCTCGCATGTGCTATGATGCGAGGTAGCCGCTTTGCCGTTTAAAAAATTTACGCATATACCGCTTCATAGCGATCATGAACAAAAGTATGTCTGACGATAACACGAAACATATTGGGGGGAAAACGAGCGTGGTTGCCACTTCGAACTCAAGAGTTTCGTTCTATTCTGTTTAAGAACCCATTCACATTGGCGATTTTTAGTCGCGTTCGACAATTCTTTGCTGCGTTGTGAGAAATATGTCGCGTATGTGTAAAGATCCGCGCTGCGATTTCGAGAACCATAACATGCATTTATTTAGTGAAATCTATTCGAATAGCGAGAGCTCCCAAATTTCGAGTACCTCGTGGAGAAACATTTAAACAAATTTGGGTGTGCCAATATACGAATTACTGTAAATTACGTGATAAGAAAAAACTTTTTTAGCAGCCTGATTCGTAGCAAGGCATTTTTATTTGCAAGTGGTAAAATATACGCGAAGGAACGTTTTTAAAATCAAACCGCTTTTAAAAAATAACGGAATTAAATTCATTATATGATGAACAAAGGAGTTTTTTCGGATCGCTAGCAGTAACGGCTGGTTAAAAGAAAATTCCTTAGAGTTGAGTGACGTAATTAGATAAAGCATATACGATTTATACAAATTTTGTTTACTACGACACACGGCAGGGAATTTAAAGACAATTAATCCGTGCATTTACCCACAACAAAACCTAGTTAATAAATTGGGCAAAATTAATATCAACACAGCGGAACATTGCCAATTTATCCCTTTGCGTATTCACGATCTCGAGAAAAGAATATTACCCACGTCAATAACTGTAAGTTATTTTCAATTTTTTATTTGCATGAAATAATGTCTTGTAATTATTGTTAAGAAACGGATCCAAACAAAGGATTTGGGTTATGTTGCTTCATCGATAGGGGAGTTTGCATTTAATTTCAGCTATGGGTGGATAACTGGATTAAAATGTTGTTTAGGTTTATTTTGAATTTTGAAAGAACTAAACATATTGGAAACTAGGAGTTTGTTAAAGAATCGGACTGACGAACAGAGAAAGTGTCTGCAATAGCGCACCCAACTTCGTTGGAAAATGCGCTAAAAAGGTAAAAGAGAAATTGATCGAGGAAGATGAGAGAATAAAAGAAAAGTATAAAGAGAAAATATATCAGAAGCAGAAGCGGGGTGCCAATTAGTTTAGGGAAAAGTTTAATAATAATAATTAATAATAAATAATTGGTGCTCCTATAACAAATGTATTTGTTCATACTTCTCACTTGTGGCTCACCATTTTGTTTTAAATGTTTCATCGCGATGGTCACCCTCCAACGCTCCATTTTAAATAAATCAAAATGGTAAACTACATAGGTGCTGGCAAGCCGGTTACTTTCTTCCCCAACACTTCGCTGCGATCCTTGAGTTGGAGCAGACTTTTCATAGAGTTTACAGGCAAGTCATGCAAATAAATGGTGGAATTATAGGGAATTTGTATGCTTCAAACGCCAAACGCCAAACTGTTTCTCACTTGTAAAAAACGGTCATGACACAGTCGCCGGGTATAAATATTTAAAAATAGATAAGGACATCTCAAACCGGGTTTATCTATGAGTAAAGACCTAATGATTCGGAGAAATCTGAAAACAAACAAAATTTGTTTTTTTAATGTTCTTATCCATGCAAATATAGATAACCTCACCGTTGCTTTGGAAGAACGTAGATAATTATGCAAATGTTGGTATTCATATCTATAGCAGTAGGCCATTCCTCACCTAGTCACGAGAAAGGAAAACTTCCACCGGTTCTTATCGTCTCGTGACACGATATAAACGTATGTCACGGCATTTTCGTAACAATCCATTAGTGACTCAAACAATGGCACTACTAGTAATATCACTGATGCTTGTGAGTAAGAAATGTGATAATCTTCGTGTTTTCAAGTTTTTCTTCAGGGTAGCTGTCTTTTGATGGTGAAGGGATTGTCACCAACAGGCAGTCTAATTGCTGATAAATATTCCATTCCTTATCAGGTGCGTGTCAATACACCCCAAATGCAAAGCTAAGTTTCTTCCTCCGCAGGCTGATCTTATAGTTGAGGTTCCTGGTGCTGATACCCGTTACCGCACAGGTACCCTAATCTCCTGTAACTATGTGTTGACGGCAGCTAATTGTGTCGATGGGTAAGGTACCAAGAACATTATAGGTGTATCACGTGTGCCTCCCTTTCAGTTCCTCCAAGATAACTGTGATCATGGGGGTGTACAACGTTGAGGATAAAAATGAACCCACGCGAAGGACATATTTAGGCGACGCTTACACAGCGCATCCATGGTACAATGGAAGCGAGGGGTATCACGACATTGCTGTGATTCATTTAAATGAATCCGCAGAAATTAATGGCAAGTCTAATCTTCACGACAATTTTATAACCGTCGTTCTTTAGCCTATATTAAACCTGTGACTTTACCACATCATCCGTGCACGCATCTCTTCGGCAAACAAGCAAGGGTGAGCGGATGGGGTAACGTAGTCGCTAATACTCCTTGGGAGTACTCAGTTTTGCGTTACGCATACGTTACCATTGGATCTCACGCGAACTGTCATCCCCAGTTTCCGCAAGTTACTTCAGCGCAAATGTGCCCCGTACCTACGGAGGTATTCTTCCATATTAGCGATATCGGTGCCCCTCTCGTATTTAAAGGAGTTCAGGTATAAGACTCAAACTTATTTTATTGCACCATGTCTGTTAACTATTTCGCGATAGATTGGTATTGCTGCTGCAACTAGTTTTACCAATGGAATCGAAAGCCATCCGCAAGTATACACCATGGTCGATCGCTATCTCCCATGGATTAAAAACAATACCGACGTCAAGATTGGGCATTAGAATGCACGAAGTGATTTGTCCCAAGTGTTTTTGAGGAGAAGATAGCTTTAAATATTAAATTATCAGCAATACTATCATAAACTTTTTTACTATCCGCACGTTCGTACGAGGTAAAAAACGGAAACACGCGCTTTGAAGCACCAGGAATTCGAACCAAACAAAATCTCGATGATGTCGGTTTGTCTGTACCCTCATTTCAGAACCAAATTTGGTGCACATATTCTTAGACATACATAAAAAGGAAAAGCTGAAAAGCTTTTAAGCACAATCGCGCATGTGCAAGTAAGGATTTAGAGAAAACTACGACGATGTTCACGTACGCAAAACAAAACTTATAAAGGTACTCGCGCAAAACATTGTCGGTTATACGCTGAATGGCATTAGGGTTGTTTTTTAATCCAAAAGGCATCCTAAATTTTCGTAATATTCATTATTCACTGAAAAGGCAGGCGTCTCGAATGAGGCCCGCTGCGTTTCTATTTGGGTCAAATCTAACTATGAAAGTTACATGCATTTGCCTAAGTTCTCTATAAAAAAAAATAGTATTTTCTCCATTCTAGACAATAGCAATCGCCAAAAAAACAAAAAAAACAGTTTTTAGAAATAAGCACACGTTTTTTGGCAAAATAAATTTTTATATAACTAAATTAACGTCTTGGATTCGCGCCAATAAAGATTTTTGAAATCTGTAAAGTAGTAGCATATGGAAATATTTTAGCAACATTAAAGAGAAGAGAGAAGACAGACTTCGAAAAACTGTTTCAGTTACAGCGGTTACTGGTTATTGTGTATTATCAAATTGCGCATAACGTGAAGCCATAGTATACTGCAAATCTGACCAGAGCTGCTCTGAATAATAGTATAGAATGCCAATATGCGTACCGGAGCCCTTAAAAAATAATTCCACTTAAGTAGCACAGTAACCTATATTTCATTTGAGTTCCAAGCCCTCTGTTGCCAGTCTACCTAAAGCTAGTCTATGGTAAGACTCTTAGCTATGTTTTTTAGTCGTTTGTTCGCTGTACTTCTTAATATAGCAAAGTAGAGTAATTTTTCGTGTTTCTACCAGCTTTCTAAGTTACTCCCTTTTAGAACTATTCATTTCTATGAATTTTAGGGGCTGCGAATCTTTGCTATATTTTTTGTTCTTCTTCATATAATCAAATTAGCGTAAGTACCTAATTTGTCTCACTTCTTTCAGCTCTTCAGTATATCTTTCAGATGTAGTTATAAAAATTCAATAGCCTGAGTTCTGATGCCAATGCGAACGTAGTACAATACCATGTGCTCGTGTACATTTAGCTTTAGTTGCATACAAACCGTTATTTTATCGTACATAACCTCAATTTTTTAAATTTTTAAACATGGTATTCTATGACTTACATTATTGTGTTTTACGTTTATTTATATTAAATTATTCACTAAAATGTGCTTTCGGGCAATATCAAGAAATGGCTACCCAAGGCCGGACACAATATCAAGTCTGTATTATCCACTACTGGTTTGCTGTTAGTACTCGTTCTCTTTAAAGTTGTTGCAGGAACGTACAAATTTGCCGCATTACGGTAACTGTTGGAAATCGGCGGTGGACCACGTCGAAGAAGGCTGCCGATCATTATCGGAGGAAACGCAAAGCAGCATTGCCTTACACCTGGCAAATTGTTTCTTAGAAATGTCCGGTCATGAAAGCTACAATTGCGAGTTGGAGAAAAAGCCTAACCTCAAGCAAATCTGCCTTAGCAGCATGTCTGATAGAGCCTTTAACGTTTATACTGAATTTTACACGCACACTCAAAACATTTGCTGGTTTCTGCGGGGGCAAGTTTGGCAAGAGGTAATGGCCGAAAATACTGTTAGATTCGGTAGGCAATTGGAGGTTTCGGCTCAAAACCAGGAAGACATTCTAAGAGCACAGCGGAACAGTGTCGAATTGCAGGAGAAATTATTACATCACGGACACGCATTGGAGAAAATAATGGAGGAGTTTTACGTCTCGACACAACAACACCATCATATACTGTCATTAATGGCTTCCAATATGAAAAGTTTACAGTCGTGGTTAATCGGTGAATTCTCTTGGATTGATACCATAATTTTTTATGTCGCCTCATCCATTTTCATTATAGTAATAACATCGACTAATCGTACATCATCCGCTCGATTTCCACTGTGGTTATTACTAATCTTGTCAGTTATTTGTGAACGATTAATTTATTTACATGTTGTGCACAGCTACGACAAGCAAGTGCAGGAGGTACACCTGGCAATTGCCGGGTACGTTGAATGGGTACGTAAAACCTTTGGTGTTATTGCTTTATGTGTGCTGCTTCTGTCCGCTTTTTACTACCGCAATTTGAATAGCCTAAACAACCAACTTTTGCACAACATTCACGAGCAGCAGCAAGTTATAATGCGACAGATTGTCGATTTAAAAATGAATAGAGAAGACGATGGGCTTCTTATTGTGCAGGAACGTAGTTCAAAGTCACCTTTTACACAATCGTTTGCATCGACACCATCGGTTCATGTTTCCAAAATCTATCAAGATTCACCAGTTACCAGATCTAGGTATAACTTACGAGGAAGAAGTAAGGTGTTGGATCCGTAAACGGACAGTGTTCTTGCATAAGATTTCATTCCTTTTACAGTGCTGTGTATGGTTCCTTTTTTATCTTTATATTTTATTTTCTGTTTTAATTTATTTAAGTACTACATTTTTATTGAGTAAAAGCATATAATTTCCTCTATGGTAAAAGTAATAGCATTGTTTGAATAAACAATGGTAATATATGTAATAATTTTTATTTAGAGATTGTATATTCCTGCCAATTTTGTATTTATTTCCAAGAATAATATAAGAAATTTTAATTTTTAATCATTTGTTATTATTACAGCTACATACAAATTATAATATTAAATTATTAACCCCCCTGCATATACCTATAGATCCTATTGGCAAATCTCATTGACATTATAATTGGGTTAGAGCCGTCAATTTCAATTAGAAAAGTTTTCGCTAAAAGATATTTAATTTTGTCACACAGAAGACTATAGCCAACATTTCCTTTTTCTGATATGGCATATTAATTCTGGTCCTCTCAAATCCTAGACACAAAACAAATAGGTATCGGATGCATGTCCTCATGATGTAGCTTTATTTTGGGTCTTTGTTTTTGAGTAATTTTTGTTTTGTACAAAAGTACTCCTGAGTCCTGATCCCCCATGTTCTCAAAGTCTGGCCGCCTTTTCTAAGCCCACTTTTTATCTTAAACACGTCGGATAGTTGTCTTCTACTGCTGATGCATACTCTTCAATGTCACTTTTGTTAAATACATAAGCTTCTGGTTGCATTATGGTTCTGGCATAGTTTGCTCTTTTTTGGAGAGTGTCAAACTAAAATCTACAAACAATATTACGACAGGAACTTCATATTCCATAACTTGGAGAAGGAACTTTCTTTCAAAGTGTAAGTTCCATAATATTTCTTCCACCAAATTTTATCCTTTATGGATCTTCTTTTTAGAAAAGCAGCTTGGCATCTTTCGAATAGGTATATACAGGGAATTTTCCGGGCTATGTATACTTAAAAAAACATGTCGATGCATGGAATAGATGGGTATTATAGGCAACTAACTAATTTTGTTTTAAAAGATAATAGGAGTCTGTTATGGAAAAAGTAACTTAATTGTTTAACTAGAGTTACCTATTAATCGTTATTTGATATTTACATTTTTGAAATCAAATGAAGCAAAAAAAATGACTTCCATAAGAAAAAACAAAGTTGATGATGGCTCACGGGAGACGAAACGTCAGAATTAAAATTTAAAACTAGCATCTTGTAGAGGGGAAAAAATGGCCTTAATAATGTGTCATTTATTTTGAAATATCTTTTTAAATAACAGGTAAAAAAACGATTTTGCAAAATTTCGTTTTTTGCAGGATAAATCTCTGAAAGTAGTTGGAATTTTTTCACTTTCAAAACGGCATTTTGCTAAGAATCAAAATACGCAACTTTGCCAAATTTAAACTACCTACCTACCTCTCTTACAGTTCCTGAGATCCCTATGGTGGCCCTCCAATGGCACATATAATTTCCACCACAGTTCTTTGTCAATTCAGTTTGTTTATATTAAATTATTTTTTTAGAAAACAAGTCAATGAAAAACACATACTCTGTAGATTCTGTTTTCAAAAATAACAAGCAAAAGAGAATAAAAAAATATACACAGTATGTTACAATAAATATTGACCCCTATTAAAAAATCGTGCGTAATATATTATAACCCTCACTTGGGGACGGATTAAGCTAGCAATTCTGGCAAAATCTCTTAACCTTTAAGCTTCGCCAGTTGAGCTTCAAGATCTGCGTCGGATATACTGGACTTGGAACCCTCTCCTATCTTACCTGCAGGAACATTCACCATCTAAAACACGAGTAAAGGCAAACAAAACCCCCTAATATGTATTGATCACCTTTCCGCTGATCTCAATACCGATTTCATCAAGAACTTGAGACACGATGTTGTCACTTTCAGCCTCATCACCGGACTCGGTAAGCATGTCGTCCAAAGTATCATTGACTATTGAAGAAAATTTGTATTAATCGAACATACGGAGGATACATACTCATTTCATCAGTCATATCCATTTTCATCGACTCCTTTTTGAAGACGTCTAAGTTAGCTGCTATCTGTTCGGGCTTCATCATCTTGTTCATATCCGACATGGTGTCGCCTGCCACTTTCATCGCATCGGCCAACTTCAAATTCGCGCCCATCGCCTTGTTCTGCTGCCCAATGCCTTGGATTCGGCTTGTTGCCGTATAAGTTCTCTCCTTCTGTTTGCGTAGTTGCACCAACTGCTTGGCGAGTAACTTACAACCTTCATTGTTACCCTGTTGGGCTAGCCGCCGAATTTCCTGCTCCTGCAAGTTATCAAACGTAACGACTTCGTAGACCAGCAGAATGCATACCAATTTCTTTTCTTCATCTTCTAAATGTCTACGTTCACGTTCGATATCTCTAGTCACCTTCCGTAGTTGACGATCCGCTTGTCGCTGTTCCTCTATAAGGTTAAGTAAAAGCTGAGATAATTAGAACCTTTACGAACCTTTAGGATCCGGTTTGGAGAACCAATTAAACATTTTGTTGACGCTGGAAATACGTTTTAGACAATAACATTAAATTATAACATTCTCATTATCAAGTGTGATCATGAACTATTTATATTTTTGACGATTGAGTGGTTGCCTACAATCAGGCGGATAAAACGTTTTAATCAGTGATGGCCAACCACAGATATCAACCAGTGTCACCAAACTATGAAAAGCAGGGGGTATTTTCCTTAGAGAAGGAATAGTCTAAGGTATTTTCCTCTACACCAGCACATATTTTAATATCATTGTATAGTACTATACAGGGTCATTCTTGACGAGCGTCAGTTAGAAAGATATGGAAAACCTTTGAAAATGAAGATAAACTGATAAGTTCTTTAAGGGTTTTGGCACATGATGAATTGAACTAAAATATTTTCAAAATGGCGCCACTTCCGGAAATACCGGAAGTAGCCATCAACTTTGTTATTTTAAATAGGGACCCCCTATTTTTTCTACATTTTCGGATTCTACGTCGAATTTGGAGTACAACGATACCCCATAGTTGACCCTTTGCTCCAAGGGCTTCGCCGATATTCAAGTTCTTATGCCAAAAATTGAATTTGCAGGGGTAATTTTAAAAATTTATTATTCGAAAACGGTGAGAGATATTGCAACACAGTTTTCAGTGATTTATTAAAGAAAGATCGAATTTTCTTATGGTATGCGTAACATTCTAAAAAAGTGAGACTACGTCACTTTTTTAAAGCTCTCAACTTTTAAACTTTTAAATATCCGTAACTCCATTTTTTCAACCCCATTTTTCAAATAGCACCCCCATTTTGTTCTTCATCCTTGTTTTCCTTTTTCCCAGACCTTTAATTTGATACAAAATGTCAGAGGCTAGTTCAAACGGGTTCCGAGATATTCCATGTTTTGTTACTTCTTGTGGAAAATTGATAAAAAAATTAAGTCGCTTGATGTTATTCTTTTGTTTTTATTATGATAATGTTTAAACGTCAAATTTTCGCTGCTTGAATTTATACTTCTCGTCAATAATGGCTCGTTTGGGTTACTCTAATGAAGATTTTTTGAATTTAATATTAATACACAGTGAATGTAATCGAATAGCGGCCAGGACTTGCCGTCTTTTTTCCGAAAGATACCCTAACAAGTATAAAAACAAAAGAATAACATCAAGCGACTTAATTTTTTTATCAATTTTCCACAAGAAGTAACAAAACATGGAATATCTCGGAAACCCTTTGAACCAGCCTCTGACATTTTGTATCAAATTAAAGGTCTGGGAAAAAGGAAAACAAGGATGAAGAACAAAATGGGGGGTGCTATTTGAAAAATGGGGTTGAAAAAATGGAGTTACGGATTTTTAAAGGTTTAAAAGTTGAGAGCTTTAAAAAAGTGACGTAGTCTCACTTTTTTAGAATTTTACGCATACCATAAGAAAATTCGATCTTTCTTTAATAAATCACTGAAAACTGTGTTGCAATATCTCTCACCGTTTTCGAATAATAAATTTTTAAAATTACCTCTGCAAATTCAATTTTTGGCATAAGAACTTGAATATCGGCGAAGCCCTTGGAGCAAAGGGTCAACTATGGGGTATCGTTGTACTCCAAATTCGACGTAGAATCCGAATTTGAAATAGGGGGTCCCTATTTAAAATAACAAAGTTGATGGCTACTTCCGGTATTTCCGAAAGTGGCGCCATCTAGAAAATATTTTAGTTCAATTCATCATGTGCCAAAACCCTTAAAGAACTTATCAGTTTATCTTCATTTTCAAAGGTTTTCCATATCTTTCTAACTGACGCTCGTCAAGAATGACCCTGTATATACAATGTTAATACGTACGGCGCGGCGTTGCAAAATAATTATTAATTTATGTAAACTCCTAAGATTCACGCGATTTCTTGTAGATGCCCGTTTTTCAGCATCTGTGTATGATGTGTTGCATATACATAAGTTAAAAACAGTCCAGTTGAGATAATCGAACATTTATCCTCTTTTTTGATTTTTCACCAACCTGTACCATTGTATAAAAACCACATTCAGTGCCTGTACCAAATCATTGAATAAAAATCTAATTTTTTATTCAATGCCCTATCATGCAAATTTTGTACTATGTAATATAAGACTTTATAACTACATAGGTAGGTACATCGTAAAATATAGCCAAAGCTTCTTTCGTTCCAATTGATACGCACAGTATATCCAAAGCAACTTTTTCTCAAAATTTCCTATCAATTAAGTACAAAAATAAGGGAATCCGTTTCTCTTTGAACTCGTCAAAGCCTTTCTTAGTTTATTTATAAACCAATTTCGGAGAGAAAATGTCCAAACGCATTGCCTCAGAGCCCAATAGGTGTATTTTAATCATTTTCAATAAAACATAGATGGCAAAACCTTTTGTTTATTGTATCCAGCAATTTTGATGTTTGTTCGTTTCACGTTTTATACGTTACATGGTCATACCTTTTAGTAATTTTGAATTTCTTTGCCTAAGAATTTTATTCAAGATCATTTCGACAGTCTTCTTCGAAGCCTATTTATCAAATTTAAAACAAATATTATTATAATATCAGAAGTGACTATTTCTTTTTCTCTCATAATCCTTCGCTCTCTTCTATATGCCGCGATTTATTATAGAAAAAAGATCGCGCTCGGGAGGTTCGAACCCGCATCATCATAATCGAGAGGCGGCGACCTTGCAGTTGCGCTATTAAGTACCGCAACAATAAACTAATACTAATACGTATAATTAACAATAATCGTAAATTCATTTTATTTATTCCCAAGCTATTAAACACCCTTTAAAAGTGTATATTAATCAATTTCAAAGAATCATCGACGATTTTAATGTCATATCTCCTTTCAAGTGGACGAGTGCGTTTTAAACAATTGTGAGAAAAGGGATCGGGCCGAGCTCATCTTCGGCTGCGGAGCGTTACACGTGACCTGACGACCACAGAATATAAAAGCGTACTCTATATTCTGTGGCGTTACGCATGAAATGATTTTACTCCCGTGCAAAACACGGACTAATTACATGTGCAGGGGTTGTAGAAAATAAATTTAATTCTCTACGTCACTGTTAAAATTTTACTGTAAAATTTAATTTTTTCTAATGAAATAATTAATACCATGGCTAGCTCAGTAATGAATAAAATTTTCATTAACTCTTACCTTGCGCAAGATTGGTTCTTTATTTCCCCTTATGACCTGAATAATAAAACCTGATGCCCTGGTTTGACCATTCTCCAATAACTACTCATATGAATTGAATTGTTTGAATATATTGTTGAAAATCAGATCGTACCAACTCCTTCATGTGTTCATGCAAAATAGAAGCTAGACCCCAAAATCCCCAAATAATCGCTTTCTGTTTTTACAGAATACAGAAATTCAATTAACTTACATTTATCTATGATTCAAATTATAATCGATTTATAGGAGCTGAAATATTCTCCTATGGAAAGGTAGCAGCAATTTGGAAAATTGGGTGGTGCAATACCTTTTCTATACCTAATACAATTGGACTTTCTGTATTGGCAGGTAAAAAATATTTCGTTACTCGTGAAAAGTGAATCTCGCAAGATGATTGACAAATATGAAATCGGCACAACCGTGCTTCAGATTCCTCACATTTACCTCACCTTAACCTCACATTTACCTCACGCTTAATTTAGAGGGGATCTTTTTGCATTTGGGGATTAACCTTAACGAATAATCTATTGCTTTTTGGATCTCTGGCATTTGACGGTTAAGCGAAACGAAAGTTTAACCGAAACAAAATTATTTGTTTTCTGTATCTTTTGCTTTTGATGTTTTGAGCATATTTAAATCTTTCTGCTTTTTTGCATTCAGTCCGCCTAATGTTTGCTTTTATATTAGGTAACTTTACCGCACTGTATCTAGCTTTTTGCTACTTTCCGTTTCATTCATTACAAGGGGTGGGGGGATGTTACCTGACCTTCCTGCAATTATTTTCCCGTAGAAACCGCTACCGAGCCCGATTATTTACTGTTCCCACTTACGGAAATTCGGGAAAGTTCGTCGCAGCAACACAGGAATTTGGTTTGTAATAGTATTTTTGTGGTACGTTTTGTGTTAAAACTTTGGAAAACTTGATATAATTAATTGTGTGCGTGAAATTCTAACAAAATTTATTATAAGCTCGTCGAATTTTTCATTCTAAATTCTTCGCTCCGCAATAAACCAATAAATTTGTAACCCGTGTTACTTGTATCACAGAAGGAAGCATGTGATTGTACCAAAGTGGGAATCTACAGCGCTGTAAATATACGGACATATAAAATAGTATCATTCTTATATTTACATAAAAACGTTAGGTACCTAATTATGTAAATAAAATCTCAAAAATCCATTTATTCTCTTGGGGGGTCCTGACAAATTATGGTTTAACACGCCGTACGCTACCAATTCAATACTTGTTAACCCTTGGTTTTATGTCCGTCTCAATCGGAGAAAAAAATCACCCACAACCTATTGTTAGGAAAAAATGGCTTCATTTGAATAAATTACAATTTGAGTCTAAAAGAATTCGTCGTGCATCGTGAAACCGCATTTTATAAGTTAAAAGAATTCGTCAATGTAAAAAGCGATTCGAAAAGACGTTTGTGGGGCAATAAATCAAGACGAAAAGAAGATTGCCGGGGTTTTATGATTTATCTTACAAGTTACGTAAATCTAATTCTTTGTAAAACTTTAAATGACGCAAGCGCGACGGTATAAAATAGAAAATTTTAAAAAGTAAAATTATTATGGCCCCAATAAAAATTTTATGGTACACTTGAATTTCATTGAAATTGATACATTAAAAACGTTACATGTTCTCGGAATACATTTCGTAAAGTAATTTTAGCACGGATAGAATTGATGATTCAACTCACGTGTACATCGTTTTCTTCGATGTTATCTTTATGGGTAGGGCTAGGGTATATTCAGTTTGAACACCAACTGGGCTGCGGAGTTCCGCAAGGATCTGTACTTGGTCCTATGTATCTACGTTAATTCTTCTCCACATTACAAAAAAATAAACAAAGGCTCTTGTCTTCAACAGCAAATCTCACAATCGTCTCCGATTTAGTCGAGTCACGACCTTAGGAAGATTGAAGATGCACTCAATGAATGTGCTAGA